ATAGTTGAAATGATTCGACTGAAGATGTGTGTTGATGAAATTTGTATACAGCTCGGAGCTGCTTATGATCAGTGACAGTATTGTCTAGAAGGTCGCATTACACTTGGAAGATACCAGACACCCGGCACAACCCAGGAGACGGATGGTAACTTCTGAAAGCAAGGTTTCTGTGTTGACCGCATGTTACACTGACATTGAAGCAGTGTTAAAACAGTGTTAAAAAAAAAACAAAGAAAAACTGACAAATAAGTCTTGTCCAGGAAATTTAAATAACTCCTACAAATCAATTTTAAAAAGATAGAAAAAATGCGGGGAACCTTGAGTAGGCACCTCACCAATAAACATCTCCAGAGGCCCCTAAAGGCAACGACAGCATGATGAACTTCAAGCTAGCAGGAAAATGCAAAGTGTAAATAACTCCAGAAGAAACCACAGAATGGCAAACATCTTAGAAAGAATGAAAATACAGAATTTGCAAGTCCATGAAACAACTAACTCTCCTACTGCTGTGCACATCCCCCCCAAAAAATTCCTGTTAAAACCTCAACCTCCCCCCACCCCAACATGATATTTGAAGCTGCCTGTGGGAGAGAACTAGGTTTGGATTCGCTCATGAAGGGGGCTCCCCGTGATGAGCTCCTGCACGGTAAGAGGGGGAGACACCAGAGCCTCCTGCCCTGACGAGTGACGACGGGTTTGAGAGAGGCCCGCGATGGCAAATGGATTTCTCTCGTAAGGACGGTTCCAGAGTCACTTAACTTTCTATGTTGTATTGAGGATCATGTAGAATTTCATGCAACCCCAAAAGCTGGCTTTGCCCACCCACCCATGAGCTGTGCCTCTGTTTCGGGAAAGAGCCACAAAGGAGAATTTACCAACCAGTAAAACTGCCACAAACTGGCTTGATTTGGGTTTTTTAAGACTTGGAATCCCGGTGAGACGCGTCAAAGGGACTGCACACATGCTGGTTGTAAACTGCCCAGTTGTCTGTCTGGGGGTGACCCTCCATGCCACCCACGTGACTTGCCTTCTCCCATCTGTTTGACACCCTGATAACATCTTGAAGGGACTTAAAATTTTTTGTGAACAGACTCCAGGGTTTCTGGAAGATGGTATTTCTGCCCCTACATCTCTAGGCTAAGCTCTTAAGTAGTTAACGGGTTCACCATTTGTTAGATTAAACTGCCACGGACAGCCTCCTTTTACTGGACTAGAAGCTTCAAGCTTCCAGAACTGTCCTTAAAACTATTCACATTCTAATGAAGTCTGAAGAAAAAATTTAAATATCTGTAAAAATTAGTAGGCAGTCATGTCTGTAAGTTCTGCTGGTGGTGTCTAGTTTGCTTCGTATTGAACGGCCAAAAGTAAACTTTGTGTGACTATAGAGTTTACACAGGCCCTTTCCAGCTTTCTGGCTCACTGGTTATCAAGGACAGCCCCACAGGATGTTTTCCAGAATGTCCACAGACTTGTGTGACCAGTCTAGATCCACTTGTTCTGGCTACCTTGACACAGACTGGCCTTGGGGAGGGCAGTCTTGGAACCGAGGCCAAATTTGTCTCAGACCCTAACGGACAAGAAAGAAAAACAACTTATCTGCATGCTGCCCTTCACTTTACAGAGGGTGGCCGATGGGTAACTCGGGCTCGCTTGCAAGGCTGGGTAAACTGGAAACGCAGAGCGGGAGGGGCTCGCTACCGAGGAGGAAGGGCGCCCCCAGGAACTCAAACCTCCAGTTGTCCGAAGAAAAGCCTCCTCCTCCTCACTGGAGAGCGGCCCTGTGACTGGCCAATGAACTTCAGCCAAGTCCACACTTCTCTGCCCCCAGTGTGCTTACCCCCCCCCCGCCATTAAAATATAACTGCTTTGCCCCAGGCCTGATTCCTCAAACTTACACAACCTCATTTTCTTTCTTAATTGCAGATGTAGAATTAAGTTTACCTCTCTCCTCCTTGCCAAGTGATGTGCAAAGCCGACTTCCCTTCTCAAGCGCCTAATGCCATCCTCTGCTTGCTGCAGGCCAGGTAGAGGCGCCACTGTCCCGAGCCAGCCTGTGTTACCGCTGGCACCTGCAGCCTCCCTGGCTTCCTGGGCTCCCTTCAGTCCAGTCCGGCCTTTGCTTTCTCTGTCTACTGCCAGTAGCTTTTGACTCAACAAGTGTCCTCTAAGCTGGGAGCTGCGATTTTTCCTAAATGCAAGTGCTTCACTGCATATTGTTAGATAACATATTTTGCGCTTTCAAGCAAAACCAAAGTGTCCATCTGCGAGTCAGAAAGAGGGTCTTTGCCAAGCCCCTACCTTGCAGGTACTCTTGAGTGCAGCCTCCTGCCCTGAGAAATGAATACCCCGTCGTTTAACTCTGATTGCAGTATGTTGTTATACCAACCCCAGCTGACCAAGGGCCTACCTCCTCAGTGTGTTACAGGATTCTGGCTAATTAGAGACATAGTATATAAGTCTCTCTTGTTCTGTTCTTTCTAAATGTTACCATTGGTCTTCTAAGGTAGTAGAGTCCAATAGATAAGTCAAATGTATTCCTATATACTAGTAATAGGCAATTATAAAATGAAATAAGATGCATTGGCTGTCACAAGATAAATGCACAGAATGTGCAGTTTGGAGGAATCCAATGAAAGAAATATTTAGTAATAAAGGCAGTGAAATTGTGTTTGCAGATGTCCATAAGGCCTCTATGAACAAAATTAAAATTTTAGTGAATTATTAATATGTGACATATATATCCAATATATTTGCAAAAAACTGTAACTAAGAGTGTATTTGCAAAGTTGCCAGGGGGAAAAAATTTCACAAACACACAATGCAAAATGGTAACTACCCAACACACACCATAGTGAGAAGCCTGACGTGACATGTCCCGGCTGTGGGTTTTTTCCAGATACCCTTTGCCAGAGTCCTTCTATTCGTAGTTTGTTGACAGCTTTCATCATGAAAGAGTTCTGGCTTTTGCCCAATGCCTTTTCTGCATTTGTGGAGATAACCCTGTGGGTTCTGTTTCTGATTCTATGCCTGTTAGTCATTTTGGGGTGTTCAGCCAACCTTGCCTCCCTGGGTTAAACCCAACTTGGTTAGGGTTTTTCATATGGCCAGATGTTTTCCAGTGTTTGTGGATGTTTGCGTCCACCCAGGAGGCCAGGGTAGATTCCCTCCCAAGAAGGTCAGGGTCTCAAGAGGGACGCTGCAACAACAAGGCGAGAAGCCCCTGCTGGTGTTTCGCACAGGGATGAGAAATCTTTCGGGAGCGGGAGAACTCTGTGCCCCTGTCTCCTAAGGTCCAGAGGTGATGCCGCGCCACACCGGCTTCCCGCTCAACGGGGAGGCTGCCAGGGGTCATTTTGCTTTCTGAAACTGAACATTTGTATCTTTGTCACAACTACGGGCATCATGGACTTAAAAGACTGATCCCAGAGCAGTGAAGAAACTGAGATAAGACAGGCAGTTCAAGGCAACTGAAAACTGCCCACCACAATATTTTTTTAAAACCACCAACCGCAGATTCCGGAGGGAACAGTCCAGGATAATATTCCCTGACGTGCCGACTTACCTGCACGGGGCCCTGAGACTGCGGCCCCGCTCCTGCGAAACCGAGTATGATGAACGGCTGCCAGGCTCTAGGCCACACTTAGATGAACTCCTCCACCTTGGGATGGAAGAAGGTGGTGGGACGAGCCAAGAGAATTCGCAGCAGGTCTCGAGCCAGCCCTGAGGGAGGTGTGACCCACACAGCCCTTCATCTCCTCGCGGGACCCCCCCACGAGTATCTCCCCACTTCGCCAGGCTTTGACGGAAGCAAAAGCTGCTCCGGGTGAGGCTCAAACTCACAGCCCCGGGTGAGGCTCGAACTCACAGCCCCAGCATCGCTCACCAGCCACCGCCGTCTAAGTCCCGCGGCTGACCGACTGCGCGGCTGACCGACTGCACCACTGCCGGGGCAGGTCGGAGGGGCCGGAGTCAAGTTTCTTTGACACTGAAGGCTTCAAACCACTCTTGCTAAAGCCTCAGGCGCTTCTGACAGGGGGCTTCCACCAGCCGACCTGGCGCGGGAGCGGGGAGGGGGCCGCGCCCACCCGGGGCTGGGAAGGGCATCGCGGTCCCGGGATTGGCCGAGGGGTGTGTGTGCCGCGGGTTGGGTCTGTCACCGTCACAGCTTCTGGGTTCCCGCGGCCTCCCCACTGCGCCCTCCGGGCTCCCCTCACCCCACTGGGCCCCCATTCCCTCACCCGGCCCTCTACCCGCCTGCCCACCTGCAGCCCCTGTGCCCAGAGCTCAGCCTTCTGCTTGAGTTGTGCCGCCCGTGCCCCCCACAGCCCACTGGCCCCTTGATTTTTGTTTTTAACCTGAAAATGTCCAAATACGTTCCTACTCTTTAACAGAGAGCTAACATTTCCTTTCAAAGAATCACTCACGTAAACGTATAGATGCAACACAGGTTTAGCCACTTCAAAAAAAAAAAAAAATACCCAAAGTTTTAGAAGTCTCCCGCTCAAGTCCACAGCTGCCCTTGTGGTACCTCCTCTCAGGCTTTCCCCCTCGAACAAGCCCCGCACGCTATCCCTTCAGAAGAGGAACAGGGCTGGGGGAGGGATGCTGGGGAATCTCAGGATGTGGTCCCAGTCCACTCCTATGCCCCGAGGCTCCGCTCTCCCCAGCAAAGCTGGGGCTGAGACGAGCTGTCCCGGGGTGACCTTCTAGAGTGGTTCTACCAACACCACTCCTGCGACGAAGTCACGCGCCTGCACCTTAGCACCTGGCCCTAAGTTGTGGGGTAAGAGAGGCTCCTTACAGGCGCCCAGAGGCATCTGGCTCCCACAGTCTGTGTTCACTGGGGGACGCGCCACCCTCAGACCTTCACGGTCTCTCCCCAAAGCACCAAAGTCCTCTAGTAACAAGCACCCCATCCACCATCTTACATGATCATCATTTCTCCTCTCTTCCTCAAGTCCCTGATACATCACATCTGTCAGGGCGCAGCCCTCTACCCGCGGTCAGACTGTAACAATCTCTGTGAAGTTTCAGCAACTACCTTACCACTTCGTGCCAGGGACCGGCTGCCTCGCCCACCCCTCATGGCCGGCTCCTTGCTCACGGTAGGTCACTTGGCTTCAAGCACTTCACTCGAGCCTCTTTCTCAGATCGCTCCCGGGACCCGCTACTGCAGGTTGAGTTCCCTGGAAAGACTCTAAGTTGGAGATTCGCATCCAGGGAATTTTTCTCCATTATGCGTGAGGCAAAGAAAAGCAGTATGTTTCACCAGGGAGAAAACACGGGCTGCAAATTTTACAAATATCAAAGGCATCAGCGTACTCCTTGGGGGTCTCCGCTACTGGGATGAGCTGCCCCACGCTGGGATGTCAGTCTTTTACTCTCCTCTTTGACCAGTCACCGAATGGAGACTGCCCATGGACGGGTCACGAACTTGACAGGACAAGAGCCTAAGAAGGACTCCCCGGGTGACTCCGCGGGTGACCCCCATTCACGCACGCAGGGAGTGACTTCTCGTCCCAGAGCTTCAAGTAACTTGGGCGACACCCCTTTGTGACAGTCTCAGTGAGAAAGGGGAGAAGGGATGCGGAGCGTGAGCTTAGGGAAGGATCTGAAAAGCACCAGCTGCTGCAGAAAACATTTTATTGGCGACAGTGGCGGGCTGGTCTGACACGGAGGGGAGCTGGGGGGAGAGGGCAAGTCCGTCCTGCAGAGCCCCTGCTGGGGGTCACCACCTCACTGCGAGAAACACCAGACAGTTGGGAAAGCCTTGGCAGACCCCCAGGGCGGGAGGCGCCGGGCGCGCCCCCACGCCATGCCCTTCCTTCACCAGAGGTGACTCCTGCTCCCACTCTGCCGGGGCTCCGGTAGGAGCTGACTAGGGTCTCCAGGCAGAGGCGTCCGACACTAGACGGACCCTGAGCGGGGAAGAGCCCGAGACGGATGATGCTTCCCTGGGTGAGGAGGCCCCGCTGGAAGGGAACCTTAGGGCCAGGCGTCCACCTGTCGGGTGGTGGGAGAAGGGAGCATTTCAGGAGAGGGTGGCATGGCTTTTCTTTGGCGGATGGAAGTTCTTAGGGATTTCCATCCTTTTGTTCTCTTGTAAGGAGAAAGGGCAGTAGAGCTTTCAAGTGTGTCTGGGTGATGGAAAACGGGACGTCTGACAGCAGAGAGGTGATTTGGTTCAATGGGGGCCGTGTGGATGGAGGAAGAGACTGTGCCGAGAAGATGGACTCTTCCTTGCACACGCCTTGGGGTACGAGGCAGGCCGGCCCGCGCCCCACTCGGCCTTCCTAGTTGGCATTGAACTGCTTCAGGTAGGCCAGGATGTCCGCCTTCACCGCGCTCACGGTGGTGAGGTGGGACCAGCGCATGACAGGGACTCCGTCGGGTCCCACCAGGAACTTCTCAAAATTCCAGCGGATGTCATGGACCTTTATAGGCTCCCAAGAGATATGTTTCAACATGCCCAGAAACTCCGAGGGGTGAGGACAGGCATGCTGGGGCAGAGACACGGAAGGAGAAGCACCATCATTTCTCTTCCTGGGCCAGGCGGGCTCACTTCGCCCACAGAGACCCACTCCCTCCCAGACCTGGGTACTTCAGTGTCCTGCGACTCTCGTTCTGAGTCACCTGCCCACGAACCGCCTAGCACGTCCCAGGCATCAGTAAAAGTCTATTCCCTCTTTCTGTCTCTCCACACGGCCCCGCACAAAATCGTGCCGCTGTGGGTAAGACAGATCCCTTCTCCAGCTGATGGTTTCCTGCTTTCCCAAGTCCTAGGTTTGTTTGGGTCAGCAACATTTCAAAATGTCTTTTGAGACCACTATAAGGTTACCAACATTGTATCAAATAAGGAAAAAATTTAGAACATCATCACTGGACTATTTAATTTTTCAAAGATATGGCAGGGCAAATTACATGTACTCCTAATCTTAGAAAAAAGGGCAAGTGAGTTTAGGAAACTTTGCTTACACTGTCTAGTTTCTTCAATTTACCAAGGATATATAAAAATCTCAACGTGAGCCAGCCTGGCCTACAGCCCAGCACTTAGAGTCCATGGACTCTGGTGATCTTTAGACATCCTGAGACCCTGAGACAGTCTCTACACCTGCAAGTTGGTGTTTCACAGAAGGCGCTAACTACACTGTCCCATACTTTCTGATTTCTAGTCCCTCTCTGGTAGAAGCTCATCAAGGCGTGGGGTGACCTTCTTCTGCTGAGTTTCCTGACTATTAACAAACTGCCACACTCCGGGCAGGAGGAGTTGAAACCTGCTGGCGTATGCTGCTGAGTGTCACAGGCCTGCGCCCTGTAGGGTGTAGATGTCAGTGAACAGGACACAAGGGGTGCTGAAGAAGCTTCCTCTCTCACACTTCCGCTCGCACGCGAAGCCAGAGCCCACACTCACCGCCTGAGTGCCGCCCTGTGGCGTCTGGAGCCTTTTCCCCGAGCCCAGACCTCCCCGGGCCTGGGCCTGTGGGTCTACACCCGCGGCAGCAGGGAAGAGACTCGGGTGAGCGAGTCACTCACCTTCAAAAAGGTGAAGACCTTTTGTTCCTTTTCACCATTCACAATCCCCTTCTCAAACAGCTGGAAATTAGGTACAAAGCCTCTCCCTGGGCGGACATACCTGCAATGAGCCATGATGTTCTCAGGAGGCTCCAGACTGAGAAAGTTAGGATGGGCCCCGGGTGCGAGCCAGGGCAGCGGGCTACAAGGTTGTGGCTATACAGTAGGCAGCGCTGGGAAGGGCACATCAGGCCAGTTTTGGCTTCTGCTTTTTTTCTGCCTTGGGCCCTCCAATTCACTTAAGTTTTCTTTATCCCCCCCACCCGGCCTGTGCCCCACACTGTTTCTGGGTCGGCTATTTCTGCCTCAGCCGGCCCAGACCCTCACTGCAGCGGAGAGGGCAGCTCTCTGGAGACCCGGGCTCAGGAGGGGCCACGTGGCAACGTTGGGCCCCCACGGGGAGGCCGCCAGCGGGGCCTCTCTTGGGGTTTCCAGCACTTACTTTAGTCCTGGAAGGATCTCCGAGTTCTCTCCGGGTTCCTGCTTTCCAAACTGATTGCAGGGAAAGCCCAGCACAACCAGGCCGAAGGACCTCAGCTCCTCCTGAAGCGCGTTCAGTTCTGCGGGTAAAGGAAGAGGCTGGAAACGCGGCCTCGCGCCGAAAGCCATCTCTGGGGTGCCCACTGCGCTGCGG